GAAACAAGACAATTACCTGGCCCAAATTCCAACATCTCTCAATTGCAACAAAGCTTCTCCCAAAGAGGCCTTACTTTGGATGATTTGGTTGCACTTTCAGGTAAACACTCTCTATAATTTACGAGTTAATTTCACGTATAATCACTCAATTTTTTCTATATCATAATAAAATTACCAAATTATTTCTTATGACGAAAAAAAAAAGCCATTCAATTTTATCTTAATATCATAAAAGACACTAAATTGTTTTTGTAACAAAAAAAAACACTTAGATTTACCTTAGTATCACAAAAAGTCACTGAATAGTTCTTTTATATCTAAAATGTAATTCATTTTTGTAAAATGACTTTTTGTGATCTTTGGGAAAATTTGACAAATATTTTGCTTACGAAAAATAGTTTAATGACTTTATATATAATAAAAAATACTAAGACAAAGTTGAGTATAGTTCAAAATGGTCAAAATACCCCTTAAACTCGCATTGAATTTGAATCCCACCATTCAACTCTCTTTTTTTCATTTTAATACTTTAAAATCCAATGTGAGGTTAGGGGGCATTCAAATAAATCTGATTATATAAATATTTTTGCTTTTTTTCATATTCAGGAGGACACACTCTTGGATTTTCTCATTGTTCATCCTTCCGAAACAGAATCGAAAAATTCGATAGCAAAAATGACGTCGATCCAACCCTAGACGCATCGTTTGCAGCTAATTTAAAGAAAATATGCCCCCTTAAAAACACAACAAAAAATGCAGGGGCTACGATGGATACTACGACATTTTTATTCGATAACGCATATTATAAGTTAGTATTGCAAAAGAAAGGTCTGTTTTCTTCGGATTCAAATTTACTCACAAATTCAAGAACCAAAACACTTGTTTCAAAGTTTGCCAATTCCCAACACGAGTTCTTTAAAGCTTTTGCTGATTCAATGATTAAGATGAGTAGTATCAGTGGTTCCGGTCAAGAAATAAGGCGTGATTGTAGATTTGTTAATTGAAGCTTTGTTAGAGGTCTTGAGTTCAACAATTGATGTGGAGTCCTTTTTTACTGGAAAACGTTTTATTGTTTAATGTGACACTTTCGGGGCAGAAATGACTTGTAATTTGTCTTTTGGTTGGGCTTTTTATTCATTTGTGGGGGTAATAATATGTAAAATGTGTGTTTCTAAAGATTGAGAAGAGTTTGTGAAGGGATTAATTTGAGGATGGTGTGTCTTGAATCTTTATATTGATTTGATTGTAAATCTACAAAAATAAATAAATTCTTGTTTTTTTTTAATTTGATTTCATTGGATATCCACTTATGTGAAATGAAAGTACTCTTTTGTTCCGACATACATTTATTCACTTTATAGTTAATTGTTTTTGTTTTAATTTTGCCATAGGAAGAATTGACATATGCACATAATTGTTAAAATTGAAAAAGAAAAAAAAATATACAAATGGTTCCCAAAAAAGGTTCATTTGTGTAAATCAACTGTATATGCGCTTTAGTGGATCTTAGTAGCACATTTTGTTGAATATTTTGAAATTTGACCTTGTTGGTGAAAACTTGATTTTTCACCTTTTAATCGTCCCCCTATTTCTTCTTATCCTGCCTCTTATATTAAAAATAATAATACACTGCGAGCTTTAAATCAAATTCAATTATGTAAAATTAACTTAAATATCCATCCACCTAAATGACTAAACTAAAAATAGTCAATGTATGTATAATATATGTACGAGTATATAATCTATGTATATCGACCAGAAAAAGTGCACAATATACTAATTGACTATTCGTGTAAAGATCAACGGATTCGCTCCTAAATTACTGGGCTAGAAAAACATTGAGAATGGCTTTGATATGGTTTAGATTGGCCCAAAAAAGTTGGGCCTATTGGGCCCAATAACACTCTTCTCCTTCAACTTTCTCTAAACCCCAAAGTATAACAAACTTTCTACTCTCCCTCCGTCGAGTTCAACTTGCCGGAGTTCCTTCCAATTTCCGATGACGGAGCAAAACGCAGACGAAACCAACACTGTCCAAACTTCGAATCTCGAAAACGTGAAACCGACAATAGTTGCTTGCTCTCATTCGGATACAGCCCAGAAATCAGAACCACTAATTGAAGAACTAAAAGATGAAGAATTAAGGAAACTTTTGGTGCCGAAGTTAGAAAACCTCCCAATTTCTCCTCCTTCTGCTGTCGAATCCAATTTCGTCACCTATTTTGCTCCCGGTAATAAAACCCACTTCAAATTCTTTTAAATTAAGGCTCTGCTTTGTTCGATATTAAGTAGTTCAGAACTCAAATTTGTAGAAATTAAGAGCTGTATTCCTTTTTAATTGTTGTTGCAGATTTTACGAAACCTGGGCATGATCAGTATGTTCATCGACATGCCAATGGGTAACAGAACTTAGTAATTAAACTCTTTGTGCTTTGTTTTTGCTGTGATTTAGTTGCTGCTTTGAATTTTGAAATTTGAGTTTTTGCTGATTTTTTTGAAATTGGGTTATTGAAAGATTGTGCATAATTGGGTTGGCTCCGACCCACATTGCTTTTAAGGATGAAGGCGGAGTTACTTCGGTTGATTTCAATGTGGGGAAGTCTGATCGGAGTGGAATCAAGGTCTCTGGAAAGCGAAAAAAGGTATTGATAGCTGAAATTTTCTTGAATGAGACTAAAGATTGCATCTTCTGCTGAACTTAATCAATATTGGAAAAAAAAATTGCATCTTTATGGTGAAGACGTTTGTTCATGTGAGTCATTGCAATTTTATAACTTATTAGTTGTGTTGTAGCTAGATTGATCTGCACAAATGTTGTTGGATAGAAGTTGACTTTAATTTTATGATTGACGGAACTTGTTAGAGTTTTTTTTTTTTGATGACAAGGGAAACCCGCAGCCGCTACCCTTTGGGTGCGCACAGGGTAAAATCCTCCGCTCCTATGCAATAGCTCGCAAACCACATAGGAGAGGTAACCCGACTAGGCAAGCCCGGTGCGACGAGCTTGACCTAGAAGGCAAACCCCTTGCTTTCGCTGGCAAGGGGTTTCGAACTTGAGACCTCCAACATGGAAGTCCCAAGCCCAAACCACTAGGCCACCCCGAAGGGTGAACTTGTTAGAGTTTTAAGTATGCTAAGAATCATAAGGGATGGCTTTCTTCTGAAAATATGTCGAACATAATTCTTATTGTTTTCCCTATGAAGAAAAGCTAACAAGTTAAATTTGCTCCCTTGTCTGTGTTTAGTTAATATTGGATAGCTTCGTGTGAGATATTACTCAAATTCCTAGTGTTGCCTATTTGCGAACTTGACAAAGGATTACTTTCTGAACATTAGCATACAATGCAAGCTATTCATCATATGGAATTGCCTTGTCAGCAGTAAATATATGTGTGGATTATGTCAGATTAGTTCTATACCCTTTATCGTCAGCAAAACAAATGATTGAAATTATGAAATATGAACATATGTACATTCTTCAGTCTTTTGAAACAACATACTTTGTTGGCTACATTGAGAACACAAGTCATCATTGCGGCGTACCACCATTTGCCACATATGCACAAAAGTATGAACTGTGCAAGTAAAGCTAATCTTTCAATGGTTTTATGCTTTATGCTTCTAGTTTAATGAAATGAGGGTGTCATTTTGTTCTTATGCAGAACGCACAACATTTTGAGTCTAATACAGCATTATGTAAAGCCTGCACAAAGGATGCTTCTTATATTGTGAGGTATGAGTTTATATTCTTGCACTCCTTTCTTTGACATAGATTATCTTAAAATCATTAAATGATGGTCTACTTATGTTTTGCAGGTGTTGTGTGAAAGGCTCTTTATTAGAAGTCAATGATAGGTTAATTAAGCAACCAGAATTGCTTAACTCATCGGTAGGAGTTCTTACCTTGAATCAACCTCTTCTTTATTTTGGCTTTTAGATGCTGAACTTCATTGAAATGAGCATCGTTTGTTTATGGAGTCATCATATCAATGCTGTTAGCAATGGTGTATATTCGTGATGATAAAGATCTTGGAACCATCACTTGTACTACATTGAAGCTCGAAAAAAATATCTTTGGCTGATTTTTCAGAATACAACTAAATGTTTGACGCAACTTGAAGGGTGAGGGGGGTGGTGTGGTAAAAACATGTTTTGCATGATATATTCTCATTTATGAGATTCATTTAAAAAAAGAAGATATATTTTGATTTTGCAGACTCGTATTTCTTTAATCCCTGGAAATGTTTGATGCTGAATTCACACCTTGTTTTGCTTGATGTTGATAAAAGGTGCTGAAAATAGGATATGCATGAGCTCGATAATAAAAGTTCTGTTTTTGTCTTTTTCGTTTTAATATTTAAAGATCTTTCTCATAGACGTGTTCCAAATGGCATTAAGTTGTGTCATTTGATTGTGACATTGGACTTGTTTTGCATTCATAAGATGTTGTTTCATTTGACATCCTCCTCCTAATATTATAATTACATTTCTGGTTGAATATGTGTTCCTCGTGTTTGCTTTCAACCACAGGCAGACAGAGAAGGATATATTGCAATTATGATGCCAAGGCCCGCGGATTGGATCAAGGCCAAGACAACTTTGCTGGGCATTGAAGAATATAGAGAGTTGAGAAAGGATACGTTGCAATTATAAACAAGCAAGGTGGTAAATCAGCTCGTTGAAGGCAGCATTTGCAGGATTGGAGTGTATGCTGTTGGAAAAGTTTGCAGGATGTTCTCTCTCTGTAACAGTAAGATCTACTACTTCACTACACTTCTGTTATTGGCATACAGAAGAACAGTGTCAAACTTAATTAACGTTCTTATTTGTACTTTTCTGGTGTATTATTTGGATGGGGGGGAGTTTTACTTGTCCACATTGCTCCATCAATCCATATTTTGTTTTTCAGAGCGATATGATATAGAAACATATAGTCCGTAGTTACTATATGAAAATGTAACATGTCTATTATATTGCTAATTTGCTAGAACATGAAAAATGAGAAGAATTTTTACTTGCTATGACCTCCATTAAGTTTACAAGAAAACAAAATGGAGGAAAAGAATTGTTCCATTATTAAAGACAAAAACACGAAAAATTTACTCGTCTTTGTTGTCATTTTTGATTCAATAAATTGCACTTAACTCATCTGCTGACCATTTCTTGTAGAACCATTCTTCTTGATCTGTTTATAGTGATGAAACACAAGAAAACATGCTCTTCAAGCTCTTTCAACTTCTCCATGAAGCAGTCCTTGTTAATACTGTAATCCCTTATCGCCTCCTTCAACATATCTGCATTTTTCTTTCTAGCACACATATCAGCTACAGATCTATTATGCTCAATTTCATCATATAGTCTCCTCACTAGCCGACTCATTGTATCAAAGTCATTTATCAATATGTACACCCCCTTTGCAGCTACATCAAGCTGTGCTATTAGTATTTCCAGTGAACTCGAACCTTTTCCCCCTTTATCCACCTTTGATCTTTTCTTGAATAGCTTATAAGAACAAGCTAACAACCCCGGGGCAGCCATAATACCAACCATACTATGAAGAACTAGTACTAACAAAGCTATCATAATCCCAGTATACCCTATTGCAATACTAATTCCAAACACCCTCTTGCAAGTTTTCAAGAATTTCATCCTCTTGTTAACTCTTCTGAACTGTAACGATAGTTTCTGAAGCAATAAATCATGTCCTTCGCGTGTGTCCAGAATCTGAACTTGGTTAACAACAGAGAAAGAGTTGTTTAACGAAGCAAATGATGCAAGTTCTCTATATACATTGTAACAATGCTCTGATTCTTGCTCTATTGTCATCAATCTGATAGCTCTTCTTATCTTCTTATAATTAGCTCGTGTTTGTTGAACATTTTGAAGTAGTAATTCACAGATTCTGCATGCTTCTAAGGTAATATCGAAGTAGTTAACAATAAGGGGATGAAGTTGACATGATTCAGGGAGTTTTAATAACGCTTCTTGACATAGATTTGTATCGAGTTGAAGAGAAGAAGACGATGATTCGTTTAATTTTCCATCTTCAAGTTGTTCTTGAACTTTATTGTATAGTTCTACATAAGACTTAGTCCTTAAGGCTTGAACATACTCTTCATTCACATTTGACTTGTTCACCAAGCTACCCGAATCGTCATTCTCTATTCTACCTGAAAAAATCGCATCAAACATTAAAAGTATGCTCTCTCTAACAATTTTATCACATTTTTCAGATAAAGACGATCACACGATTAAACTCAATAATTCAGCATGAATGCTCCATACATTAAAAAAAGAGTCTATAATTAGCAAGAAAAGGAAGAATATGAAACTTACGTTGATTTTGGAGAGTCGATTTCAATTTGAACCAGACCAATTTTTTCATTAGATGCATATATATGTATGTTGAAAGAATTAGGAGAATTGAAAATGTTTTTTTTTCCCCAGAATATAAAAACTCTGAAAGCAACTGATTATTATCTTTATATATATGAGTTGTTTCCTTGTTTGTTGTAAAAAAGCAAATTAAGTTTTAAAAACAGAAATAATTTGTGACTTTGAAGATTTATATAGCTTTTATAACACGTTTGCGTCTCCTATACGTGTAAAGCATCCTTCTAGCAAAGTAGTAACTTCTCCATTGACTAATTAAACAACCGCGTCCACAGTATACACTGTACATCATGCTAAATCGAGGCCTCGAGTCCAAGCTCTAAGTATGGAGAAAATCCTAATGAGCTCTATAGTGTGCAATTCGAATTTTATCGGGACTTCAATATGGACTCCGGATATTGGATAGGAAAACACACACACAAGAAAGAAAAAAAAACTCTGTCCTATATTATTTGTCCACATTACAAAGAATATACGTCCTAAATTACTTGTCAAATTGCAAATTTTAGTTAAATTTTATCATTTTGTGCTTATAATAAATCTTTTTGAAAGTACAAATATTATAAATTTTCAAAAAAAGTTCCTCTGTTGTTAAAAGGTAAATTAATATAAATATTCTTCTTATTTATGATTTCATAAGGACTACTCTCCAAGATTGTAAAAAGAGTCTTACTAATAGTCCATTAGAGTATTTATTTATTTATTTTCTAAGTAAGCTAAGTTTATTAAGATAAAGATATTACTGTTATTTTGAGAGAGAAAATTAATCCATGTTAGATATAATGAGAGCAACCTAACATCACCACACAATTCATGTGGATTATATCACTAGCTTTGCTACATTACCCAATAAATAAATAAATTATAGATGAAATTTACTAACAATGAGTGCCTTGTAAATGATATTTTTTTCCTATATGTTTTTGGTATTATTGATTATGTTTAAAGGTTTAATTTCCTAATAAGGAAAAAAAATGTGTTTTAGAAAAAAAAAAGTTAGTTAAATATATGAATTTACATTTATTTCTTGGAGTCCACGTTTAAGCTTCTTAAGGGATATATATATATGAATCATGAATAGGTGACATTCATGTTTTTCTCTCATCTCTTTAACTTGGAATTAATATCACATGAATTTTGCTTATGGTTAATAGTTTTTGCTTACATTTTTTGTTTGTGAGGTGATAAAGGAAGTGTGAGGTCAACACGTACCTAAAGTGCCTTGTCATAATTTAATAATAATAATAATTACGTTTAAGTTGCGCTTCAATCACACATAAATTGGAGTTAATGGTATGAATCATCACTATTTTATTTAAATCTTATATAATCTTATCCATGGTAATCTTTTATTAAATACCAATAATCAAATACTTGATATCTTGGTTTTTTTTTTTTTGAATAATCCGAAAATTTATGAGATATTTGAGATTTATATATATAATCGAATGCATCCGAAATACGTTGGGATTGAAAATGATTCCTCTGAATCTACGTCATTCGGCTCGCGCGCTGAAGGCGTTAGACTTATTCTAGTACATGAAAAAGTCAATTTGATAATATTGAAATAATAAATGTTGGAGGGTAAATGGGCAGGTAATGCTTGATTCATGTTCGATTGGAAATAAATAAATATGCAATTATATCCACAATTTAATTTTCATGCGTTATATTAGGTAGACCACATATTTTGTAACTTATTTGAATTCTTTCCTTTCCTTTTAAATAATCTTTTTTCTAATTCATTTTCCTTTAATTGTCACGCAACAATTAAGAAGCTATTCTTTTGAGAATCTTTATTAAAAAATATAATATATATTCTAAACACAAAATACAAATATATATGATGCAATAGATTTTGTGCAATTTTTTTAGGAAGATCTTCGTAATAATTAATGTAAATTAGGTAAACTGCATATTTATATACTATAATAAACCGGGAATCATATATTATTATTATTAATGCTAGTAAGGAAAATAACTTAAATTGCTTACCATTGGAGAATTCCTCTTTATTTTAATATACTTGACTTTTCTAAAATAATATATAAATATGATGGAAAATTCAATTCCTTAAATCATAAGTTAATAAATAAAATTATGAACAAATAAACAGGCAATTTATTTCTTTTGCTTCGAGAAATTTGACTAGTAATTAAAATAACAAATTGCAAATTGCCTTTGTGAGAGAAATTTGAAATTAGTTCATTTGATTAAAACTAATAATGAAATTTTGACATGTCATTTGGTGATAATTCATCAACAACTATAACAAAAAATTAGTATTATAAGTTATGTTAATTAGTGAAACGTTTTTTGGGTTAAAATCAGTAAATTACCTAATTAGCATATCCTGTTTAAAATTATTGCTTTAAAACAAACAAGGAAACAATTTGACAATAATCAATGCTAATATTAATGTATATACATTTTCCTTTTGCAACAAAATTATCAAAATAATCCTTTAAGTTATTAAATATATATATAGGAAGAGAAGCAAAAGAGAGACGATTCTTACATTTGTAAAATAGGCATTTCTTTTGGAGTTACGTAATTCAATATATATTATCGGATGAAATAAAATGGTAACTAAATATTTTACAGTGCCAATATGACGAAAAAAATTGTACACAATTAACAAAAATAAAATTGCAAAAACTTAAACTAAAAGTTTAATTGTATTAAACTCATGCAAACTTTGACATTATGATCTTTGCTAGTCTCAAATCAATCATTCACAACTAATGGTTAATTTGTCTAGCTAGCTAAGATAAACATCATAGAAAAAAAAGACCTAAATTAAGGAGTACAAAAAAATTTAGTACTCCACCAACACATGCTTTAAGTTCAAAAGCATGGTAGTAATTAAACACTAAAAAGAAAAAAACTAAGTTAGAAAAAAAAAACATGCAAATCATGAAAAACTAGACAACATTTGATCTAGTCTTGCAAAGGTTGACCAATTCTTGAACAACATCATCAATCTCCTCATCACCTTTGACTCTAATTGTCTCACTCATTTTCTTAGCTTTTTCCCTTATGGATTCTCCTTCTTTTTCCAAGACAACCTTATTGATAATTTCACTAATTTGTTCTCCATCAAGTTTTCCATCTTTGTCCCTAACAACTTCCAATCCAATACCTACTTCTTCCACAAGCCTAGCATTCAATGGTTGATCAAGATGCATTGGCATAGCAATTATTGGCACACCAATTTTCATGCTTTCCATGACAGAATTCCATCCACAGTGACTGACAAATCCACCAATATTAGGGTTTCCTAATATTTTTGCTTGTGGGGCCCAATCTTCAACTACCATCCCTCTTTCACCTACTTTCTTGAAAAAACCTCGTGGCAACGCTTGTTCAAGTTTGAGTTTCTCACCTTTCGGAAACCTCACAACCCAAATGAAGTTAACCCTACTTTTCTCCAACCCATGAGCAATCTCTTCCCTATCTTCTTGTGACAAAAAATATTCACTCCCAAATGACACAAAAATAGTTGACCCTTTTGACTTTTGATTCAACCATGTTAAAATTTGTGAATTACCATCTTCACTTGTTGGCTCTTGAACAAGTGGACCAACAGGAACAACTCTCTTTTTAGTCAAACTAGATATATAGTCACAATATTGACCATCAATTTCCTTAAAACCTTTGATCAAAACAATATTAGAAGACCTCTTGAAACACAACTTAACACTAGTGTTATCCTTTTGTTGTTGCTCAATAGGCTCCAACTCTTGATTTTTAACCATACGTGTTAGCTCATAATCACGATAATAAATAGAAGAGAAAGGAAACTCTGAGTTAGGGTACCTAAAAGTATGAAACATGTAGGAGAACATAGTGGCGCTACTAGTAACAAAAACAACAGATGGAATGTTTTTCTCCGCGGCAACCTTAGGTGCCCATGGTTGAAGTAAATCATAAATAAGTAAGTCAGGCTCGATAGAATTGATAATTTGAGTGAAATTTGGACGAGCCTTCGCGAAGGCCTTCTTGAGAGTGGACATGAGGTGGGGTGGGAGACCATTGGTGGTATGGTAATGAGGAGGTAGGTCAGGAAGGGATGGAAGTCGAAGATCAACAAGGTGAATTTTTTCGGTTAAGTCTTCATTAATGAGTTTTTGTTTAATAGATATGAAGTTCGCGGGTGTTGAGCATAAGAAAATAGTGAAGTTTCTCTTAACGAGCTTTTTAGCTAGCTCAAAGAAAGGAGAGATGTGTCCATGTCCTAACCACGGAAACATAAGAACACGAATCGACTTTTGATTGATCTCCATTGAAGCATTCATGTTTTTTTTTTTTCACTCTTAGATTCAATAATGTTTGTTGATGAAGGGATGTTTGTTATGAAGAGGGTATTACAATTTATAATGTATGATATTGTCGTATTTATGTTAAGTTTTCATAAAAATGGAAGATTGTGTGGAGATGGAAATTGAAATCCTTGAACGAGAATCATAGTATATTTATAATATTGCAGGTTTTATTATATATAGTTAATATTTTAATCTTGTGCCCTTAAATAAAACGTAAGGAGAAGAGTTATTGAGGATCTTTTTATTGCCTTTTAAATCTAGTACTCAATTACCGTTGATGAAAGGATAAAAAGAGTTGGATTTTATAGTTGAAGTATATTTAACAAATATTTAGACCATCTACTTATTCACCTTACTACTATTCTTCGTATCTTATTTCATTTCGATCGTTTGGTAGGATGCATTAGAAAAAATATATTGCATGCATTATTTTTGTGTAACAGTTATAATATTTTATTTGATATTATAATATGAATATGATATTAATAATGCAATGAAAGTAATGCATACATTAATATATTTAAAGACATAATTCTTCGTAAAAAAAATTAACATTATTTTCATCATATTTATAGAAGGTAGTTTTGAAAACAAATATTTTCTTCTAAAAATTATGTAGTGCATACTTATTTTAACACATAAAACTGAACACTGCATAATAAATATATACCTAATGTGTTTAGTGTTTACATCAAAATAATATAATATACTTTT